AGAATTCTAGAATTATCAACCATTACAGTTTAAGAATATTTAAGCCTCAGAATTCTAGAATTATCAACCATTACAGTTCAAGAATATTTAAGCCTCAGAATTCTAGAATTATCAACTGTTACAGTTCAAGAATATTTAAGCCTCAGAATTCTAGAATTATCAACCATTACAGTTTAAGAATATTTAAGCCTCAGAATTCTAGAATTATCAATTATTACAGTTCAAGAATATTTAAGCCTCAGAATTCTAGAATTATCAACCATTACAGTTCAAGAATATTTAAGCCTCAGAATTCTAGAATTATCAATCATTACAGTTCAAGAATATTTAAGCCTCAGAATTCTAGAATTATCAATCATTACAGTTCAAGAATATTTAAGCCTCAGAATTCTAGAATTATCAACCATTACAGTTCAAGAATATTTAAGCCTTAGAATTCTAGAATTATCAATCATTACAAGTTTGAGTTATTAAACATCAGAATTCTAGAACCATCAACCATTAGACGTCTAGAGTGATTGAATCTCAGAATTCTAGAATGATCAATCATTAGACCTCTAAAGTTTTCAAGCACTGAAAATTATAGTGTGTGTGAGCTGCTGTGAGTCGCCCTGTAAAGCCTGAAGTAGTAATATAAATGTCAGAGGCGTTGGGTGGGGGGTTTTCGGACCATGTCATATGTCTTTATGTGTTAACGTCACATGTACAGCCTCAAATAGAAGGTCTGGCTCGATGTTTGGGTCTCAAAATCAACATTATATTAATAAAGATATGATGACAATAGTAGATGATTCACTCACATCCTCAGGGAGTCCAGGTCCCTGAGTTCTCTTAGAATACTCTTTCAATGTGCTGACAGTTATCAGGTTCATCCGCTCGGGGGAGGGGTCTGACGCACAACTGATGTTACAAAATGTTCTTCTGCAACCTACATCGCGTGCAATTACTCCTTTCCACCAGAGAGGTCTCCAAATCCCCCATTGCAACTGTGATTAGAGTTTCTCTAGAACGGAGCATTTCACATCAAATCACTCTGAATTACTCTGATTACATCTTAACCACTGAATTATGCAGAAATTTTAGAAAGAAAGAAAAAGGGAGAGCATGAGAGAGAAAGAGAGAAAAAGATAGAAAGAGAGGATGAGAGAAAGAGAAAGAGAGAAACAGAAAGAGAGAGAAAAAACAGAGAGACAGAGAGAGAGAGAGAGAGAGAGAGAGAGAGAGAGAGAGAGAGAAGCAGCAGAGTGGACTGTGAAGGACAGGTGGGCTCCAGGCTCAGTCCAGCACTGATAACTGTCGCTCTGTTTTAATAAGTAATGAAGGTAAACTGTCAGGCCTTCAGAGGATCATAAACCCAGGGTCAAAGGTCAGCAATATCACGCTCTGAGACGGTGGCTTAGATTGAAAAATGGAAATGAAGAGTGGTGTCGCTGTTGGCACCAATCCAAACAGGCACCTTCACAATCTTCCACAGCCCTCAGGATGACCCACACAGAGTTCAGCACTGGACACACACAGTCTGGTCTTATACACTGGCAAGATATGGGGTCATATAAATACACACACACACACAAGATATGGGGTAATATAAACACACACACACACACATAAACACACATAAACACACAAATACAAACCCAATACTAAAAAAGTAGGACAGTATGTGAAATGCAAACAGAAACAGAAAGCGGTAATTCGAATTTGATCTGTATTTGAATGAAAGCAGAACAAATACAAGATATTGAATGTTTAAAGAACATTTTACAGTCATGCTTGGGAATAAAAGGAAAGGCATAGTCCTTTCTGAGTGAGGATGGGTCAAGGCCAAAAGTACATCAGCAAAGAGTCCAACTGTCTAAGAACAACATTCCTCACCAAGCACTTGCAAGGATTTTAGGTATTTCACCCTCCACAGTTCATAATGTCATCAAAACATTCAGGTGAACTGGTAAAATCTCTGCAAGTCTAAAAACCACAACTGAATGCTGTGACCTTCGATCTTTCTGACCGCACTGCACTGAAACTTAAACCAGCGTCCACCTTGTTGTTGTAATTTCAGTCAGTTTTGAGGTTTTAAGCTAAACTTATGCTCTCCTCCATTCACAATGTTCTAGAATGCTTTCCTCCATTCACGCTGCTCTAGAATGCTCTCCTTCATTCATGCTGTTCTAGAATGCTCTCCTCCATTCACGATGTTCTAGAATGCTTTCCTCCATTCACACTGCTCTAGAATGCTCTCCTCCATTCATGCTGTTCTAGAATGCTCTCCTCCATTCACGATATTCTAGAATGCTCTCCTCCATTCACGCTGTTCTAGAATGCTCTCCTCCGTTCACACTTTTCTAGAATGCTCTCCTCCATTCACACTGCTCTAGAATGCTCTCCTGTGTCCTCTATTCACACTGCTCTAGAATGCTCCCTTCCATTAACACTGCTCTAGAATGCTCCCTTCCATTAACACTGCTCTAGAATGCTCTCCTCCAATCACACTGTTACAGAATGCTCTCCTCTATTCAGAATGTTCTGGAATGCTCTCCTCCATTCACACACTGTCCTAGATGGTTCACCAATGACACACTGTTCTAGAATGCTCTCCTCTATTCACAATCTTCTAGAATGCTCTCCTGTGTAAACAGGTCTGCCTATGAAGATGTACAGAAATATGAATATGCACTCAGTGGCTGTGTTCTGTGCTGGATGCACCTGTTTGAATGGATTTATAATAAAGACACACAGAGCAGCTGCTCTCCCTGTGGACTAACACAGTACAGCTTCCTGACCCTACACACACCAGCATATCAGTACAGTGAACACAGCTCAGAGAGAGAGAGAGAGATAGAGAGAATCAAGAGAGGGAGTGAGGGAAACAAGGAAACCAAGAGAGCAAAAGAGAAGGGGTGGGGAGAAGGAGAGGAAGAGAGAACAAAAAAGCAACAGAAGAGAGAAAGAGACAGAATTGACAGAGAGAATCGAGAGAAACAAAGTGAGACAGCAAAAGAAAAAGAGAGACAGCAAAAGAAAAAGAAAGACAGCAAAAGAGAAAGAGAAGAGAGTAAGAGAAAGACAGAGAGGAGAGTGAAAGACGAGAAAAGAGAGAGAGAGAGAGGATAAGAGAGAGAGGAAGAGAGACATAGAAACAGACAGAGAAAGAGAGAGAAAGAGAGAAAAAACAGTAAGAAAGAGAACAAAAGAGAAAGCGAAAGAGAAAGAGAGGGGAAAGAGAAAGCAAAAAAGAAAAAGAACAGAGAGAGAGAAAGACAAATAAACAGAGAGAGAGAGAGAGAAATAGGGAGAGAAAAAGTGGAGCAAAAGAAAGATGTGTAGAGAGAGAGCAAAAGAGAACGAGAAAAAGAAAGAGAGGAGAGTGAGAGACAGACAGAGACAAAGAGAGGGAAAAACAGACAGAGGAAGATATAAAAAGGCATGTGTGAGAGAGAAAAAGATGGAGAGAGAATGAGTGAGAAAATCAGATATATAAAGAGAGAGTGAAAGAGAGAATAAGAAAGGAGCAAAAGAGAAAGAGAAAAAGAAAGAAACAAAGAAGAGAGGAAGAGTGAGATAAAGAAAGAGAGAAAGGCAGAAATAGTGAGAGTGAGAGCACAGAGAGAAAGAGAGATGTAGAAAGAGATACAGAGGATACAAAGAGAAAGAGAGATAAAATGAAAGAGAGGAAAAGAGAGAAAGAGATGGAGAGGGAGATGGAGGAGGGAGAGAGAGATAGAGATGAAGAGAGAGAGAGATAGAGAGAGAGAGGTAAAGTAAAATCTGGCTGATTGTGTCAGTTAGTCTTTCAAGCATTTGTCCCGTTTACACAGCAGCTTCTCACCGTTTGACGGAATTCGTGCTTTAATAGTTTTAGAACTCACTAATGCTAATGGTGATCTTACACTGATTCACTGGTCCATATAATGTCTTTATAAATCAACATCATTAGAACAACTCAGCCATTTTCACTCACTCAGAGTGAACAAAACAGTCCACAGGTGAAATAAAAAAACACAAAATCATGCACAAACATAATCACAGTGGTTTGGTGTGAAACGCTCTGATCTAGAGAAACTAACAGAGTCAGAATTGTTCACAGTGGTGGTGATAGGAACCAGACGTCCACCTCTAAAAGCTCCCTCACAGAGAGTTACTACATGAAACACTTATGAATTCACTGCCTGATGCCCGAGACACTGTTTACAGCAGTTTTGAGAAAGTTTTGCCTAAAACATACTGTTTGTTTCCAGAGAAAAACAAGTATCTCCAACATGGAGAGGGCAATGTGTTTTTTTCTTTTAATGTACAGTGTTAGAAATAAAGGTACATTTTTATTTATTAAGGTACAAACAATGTAAATGTTTCCTCAAAGGCACAACAGTGGTTTTAAGGTCCAACTGAGAACCTTAAATAAGTTTTTCCAGGTGAAAAGTTTGTATTTGTCATGGGTGGAGTCAATACAACTTAGAAAATATAATTTCAGTTCATTATGGTTCAGTTATGTTCCCTGACTAAAGGTACTGAGATGCACCCTTGAGGAGACCACCCCAGTGATTTCTGAGAGTGTGAGTTATTTAACGTAAAAAGAGATTTTGTTTTATTATTAGTGGTTTTGATGGTAAATAAAATGTCTATATTTTTGTTGAGGACACTGTGACCCCTGGTTCCTATCAGCACCACTGTAAGGAAATCTGAGTCTGTAAGTTTCTCTACAGTGAACCATTTCACACCAAACCACTCTGAATGACTCTGTTTACATCTCCGTGATTGCATTATTGAATTGTTTGGGGAAAATAAGAGGAATTTCCCTTTTAAACAAGAAAAAAAAACTGCAACTGCTTTATTATCATAAATTGATACACTAATTCTTTCATCTTCATTGGTATGAAGAGCAGGAATTACCTAAATAATAGTTTCTTTTCCAAACCATTGATAAAAGCACATACTGCAAAGCTCCGTCCTCAAACGTTTGAGACAGTGTCCTCCAGAGAAATGCTAAATGCTAAATGTCTTACCTTCATAAAGCCAGTCACTGAGGCCGTTGAATATCACTCCCTCTTTGCCGGTGGAAACCAGGCGGATGGAGCGGTTCTCTATGGTGGCCCGGTAGTAGATATTATTCTCAAAGATGAAAATCTGAAATAACGAGAGAGAAGAAGAATAGAATTTCTTTCAATCAGTGGACGAGGAGGCAGATAATACGGTCAGTATCTGAGGCGCAGAGACCTCTAAATGACTTTGCAGAGCTACATGGACGTCTCAGCCTTTGAAATGGATTATGTTTCTATATTTTTCTTCCCAAAATAGGAAACCAAAGACCACTGATAGATTGATATGAAACATCAAAGTATAGAAGCAGGTTCTTACAGAGCCCTGCTGGTGACATCCGGTATAAATTAAATAATGTGTGTTGTAAGGCATGGGAATGAGATAATTAAGTCCTGGCCACGACTTAGTAAGGCATGGTTATGAGATCCTAATGCGTGGCCACTACTTAGTAAGGCATGGTTATGAGATCCTAATGCATGGTCACTACTTAGTAAGGCATGGTTATGAGATCCTAATGCATGGTCACTACTTAGTAAGGCATGGGAATGAGATTATTAAGTTGTGATCACGACTTAGTAAGGCATGGTTATGAGATCCTAATGCATGGTCACTACTTAGTAAGGCATGGTTATGAGATCCTAATCATGGCCATGACTTAGTAAGGCATGGGAACGAGATCCTAATGCATTTGGGCCTGATTCAAGATACATTTGCACGATTCCTAATGGCCTCTCATGGCAACCATTAAGCCAATTACGGTTAGGAAGCAAAACCATCAGGTTTTATTCCTAACGACCCTGCAAACGCAGTTACCTTGTGACAACGTATGTTTTGGTTGTGCTTTTGTCACAACGTTGAAATGTAATTCCTCAGAGAGTTACGACAGCGTTGTTTGACAGCTTTCTAGGAGGTTGTGACAACTTTGACGAGACAGCAAAAGTAATCAGTACTACGTTAACTGTACGTTGTCACAACCTCCTATAATCCTTAATGAGTTCTATTTTAATCAATATTACAGTGTTTGATAACCGGTTCTAATTGTCTTCAGCATGGCTTTCATGAGTTTCAGCGGTAGCCTTTTTGTTTTTTCTGTGAATAAACCCAACATTGATGTCTTATTGTCATGGTAGGTTTTATTCTGAAAGTTTCCATATTTAATTCTCTTATTATCAGTATGGCAATGGTAATATACATTCAGTGTAACTCTTGCTGCCCCGCAGTACATGTTTTGCTGTTTTCCCCTCATATAACTGACAAAAACTCTGCCGTGGCAGAGCCGCACTGATGTCATTAATGGGCTGGCGGTGCATGTCAGGCTGAGAGTTCATATCTGCAGCCAGACCCTTCTCTAAAAATCAGTAAAAAACAAATAAAATAAAACAAAAACAAAATATAAAAAAACTGCTAAAACAATAAGTAATATTAAACCAAGCCCTGCAACAATGGCAGCTTCATCAGTTTTTTGCCCCTTGCCTCTAGAAACAAAACACCCTCTCCCCAACGTTGTCCACTCATGAGCGATTGATTCTGTTGTAGAAACATTTATTCTACTTAATTTGCCACCTTTCTGCCTCATTTCTGGTATAAAACAAGCTTATATTAACCTAAACTGTTGATAGTTTATGTTCACTGAAACGTGTCACATATTGCAGGGGAGGCACCCAAACAAAGCTGTGTTGACAATTTCACAGAAATTACATTTTTAAGCAAAAAAGTTGAGTTTTGTTTTCCTGTGGAGCTTCATGCTTACTAGTGATAAATATGTGGGCCTTGAGGTGGGAAAGGTTGATAGCCCCTGCTTTATAGAGAGCTTATGAAATATGGCATTTTCTGTTAATTTTAGTACACATTTTCTATTTATTTATAGTATTTATAGAGTATGACATTGTAAAAAAACACCATAATGTATAAAATGTGCTGTAACTTTTGCACAGTCCACATTTTGTGTTTTATTGTTTCCAATATGTTGGAAAATATGTCTAATTTATCAATTTGTCAGTATCTCACTGTATCAAATACAAACTTCTCCGGCTGACTTTCAAAGCCCGTCATGGTCTCGCCCCTCAGAGAGCCCCTTCATCCTTACCGTCCCTCTCGCTACCTCAGATCTTCTAGCACTGGACTTCTAGCAGTACCACACATATGACTCCTGTCAGCTGTTGGCAGGTCTTTCAGTGCTGCTGCTCCGAAACTTTGGAACTCTCTCCCACAAAATCTCTTCATGACTGCTCCACCCTCTCTTCCTTTAAGGCTCAACCTAAAACCTTCCTTCTTCTTTCTTCTTTCTCCAAGTCTTAGTTTTTATTTTATTATTAGTTTTTTTGGTGCACTGTGTTTTGCTTCTCATCCTTGGGTTTGTGAAAAGTGCTATATAAATTGGTTGCATTTATTATTATGTTAAATCCAGAAAATAAACAGTAACTGTGCATTAAAATGTGCAGATGTGTGTTCTCCCTAGAGGATGTGTAACTTTTACACTTAAATTAATTAATTTACACTTAGAAAATCAACAACACATAATTCGACCAGGGCACCCAAACTTTTGCGTATGACTGTGTGCTTCAAAACAGCGACAAATTCTACCCACGAAGAGGGAGAAAGAAAGTGATTAAAATAGTATAGATGGAAGTTCTGTAATGTATACACCCAGCCCAGTAATCACAAATACTTCTGATGAAAAAAGTTAGGGTAAAATTATAAAGCACTCAGTAGTCGAGAAATAACAGACTGCTTATTACTACATTATTAAGCAGTATCTATGCTTATTGCTACATTATTAAGCATTATCTATGCTTATTAATACATTATTAAGCAGTAACTACGGTGAATTAAGCAGTAACTACGGTGAATTCTCCCGAGCACTTGTAATGCTCTTATTAAGTCTTATCAAACCAATGATTGGTAATTAAAGGGGCTGCTCATTACAACATTATCGAGTAATAATTAGGGTAAATTTGCCACAACACTATTATGTGTGTACAAACTTAAAATGATGGTTCTTCAATGGTACTTTAGTAAAGAAAATATAGAACCATGAACACTTAAAGAACCCTTTGCATGATTAAAGGGTTCTTTGCATCATGAAACGTTCTTCAGATTGATGGAGAATGTGCTGTAGATGGTTCTATATAACACCTTTTTGAAAATGGCTCTATTTAGCACCAAAATGGTTCTTCTATTGTTATGATGTCAGGCTTGTTATAATAAAAGAAACTTTTTGGTGCTATATAGAACCATGTACATCAATCTGAAGAACTATTTCACCAGGCAAAGAACCAATTAAGCCTGCAAATTGCCTGTATAGAACTCATGGCTCTAAATAGAACTATTCCCTTTACTAAAGAACCCTTGAAGAACCATCCTTTTAAGTATGTAATTTCAATTTTTTTTTCCAAATAGGTTCTACATAGAACCATATATAGCACACTCTCCATCAATCTGACGAATCTTCCATGATGCAAACAACCCTTTAATCATGCAAAGTTTTCTTAAAGTGTTCACGGTTCTATATAGAACCATTTTCTTTACTGAAGAACCATAATTTTTAAGTGTGTATTGCACATCATCTTTTTGCACAGCATTTAGGTGGGTTATTAAGGCTCATCAAGTCAATAGCCAGTGAGCAACTTGTCAAGCCAATAACCACTAATTCACTGTCTGTCTACTACTACATTATTAATCAGTAACTGGGGTGAATTACAGGTCATTCTACAGAAACGCCCACTTTTCTATCTCTCCATAAGAGTCACTGGTGTTACTGATCCTCATTGGTGTTACACATAAGAAAGGAAACACCAGAGACATTTTTAATGAACAATGCATTGTACAAAACGGCTGCTACAGAGCATCAAACCAGATGTTGTCAATCATGGAATATCCACTAAAATATGTAATTTAATCCATTTGTATTCTGTTTTTTCACAGTTACCTCAGAATAAAGTCGGTCACACCAGTGACTTCAGCTAAAAGCTTCATATGAAATCATGAGCTAAATGAGAAAATCTCTGATAACTGAAAGACACAGTGGACTCACCATGTGCTTTTCTTCATAGATCCTCAGAAAACAGGTAAAAGGAAGTCAAGTGATGTCATCAGTGTGACTTTTATTTCAAAATAAGAGTTTTTTTTTACGCGGTAACACCAGTGACACCACTCCTGGGGACACCAACTTTCATTATATATTTTATAATATTTATTTGGCATTTGTTTTCTTTATGTCACTTGAATCATATATTGCAGAAAAACATTTTTTTACCTTAAAATATGGCACCGTTTACACATGACTGTGGGGACGAGCTCTTCTGTGGTGCTTGGAACTCTATATGATTGATTTAAAACCAAAATTGCTAAATTGAGGCTCAAGAAGGTGTAATTATTAAAATAGCATTGTTTATTTTAAAATATAAATAAATTGTAACCCTAACATATATTTAGACGTTTCCATAGAATGACCCTTAAGCATTTTCCAGAGCACCTGTAATGCTCTTATTGAAACCAAGTCAACACTGAGACCAGTAGCGGTTCATTCTAGTTACTGCTTAACAATGTAGTAAGAATCAGCCAGTTGATTATAAAGTACTGCTTTGTAAAGGCTTACTAAGGGCATTATAAGCGCATTATAATTCCTTCCATACAAGTGTTACCAAAGATGCTTTTATGGTCTTATTGCAGTGAACATTTGCAGATTATGCAGAAATCAAATACGCCTTTCCATGTTTGCTGTAAAAGGACTGGTATTTTTGTAATCAGGAGAGTCCCTTAGAGAGGCTGGTAGTGATAGTGCATCAGCTATTGACAGCACAAAGCCTATTGATAGCTGCTTGGCTCAGGAGAAACGGCTGTAATGCCACATTGATCTCTAATCCCTCCTCTACACTCGCTGGTGTAGTGAATCCACATTTATCAGGATGAGAGCCAGACCCACAGTCAGTCCACCTGGCCCTAAATCCCCTCCAGGTGCTTCCACACAAATGGCTTAGGCTCCAGTCAATTTGGTTTACAGGAACTCTTTAGAATTTCCTCGACTTAAATCTCCTCGATGGTGGTAAATAAGCAGTGGAACCGTTCTGAAGATCGGTTCTCGCTCT